AACTAGGATCTTAACCACTTGTTTTACAGTTGCTGTGATCTTAAGCACTTGTTTTACAGTTGCAGAAAACTTTTAAAGCTCATGAAATAGCAAATGATAATGGAAAAGCTGAGAAATCCTTGATTACGGAAGGATTTCTAGAAAGAACTAAGGTAATGTACTTCTGGTACTTTCTTCCAGCTCATCACAGCCCTTCTCTGTCTTTCATTTAGTTGAAATATGAGTCATGTCATATGAATTATCTTATTTTAATCGCCAGAACACAGCCTATGAAATAAAATCCGCTATCACTTCTAAATAAACCAATTGAACAATAAAGTGTGCCTTTCTCCTGGAAAGATATATGAACGAGAAATTCAAAGAAGCCAAAAAACATATGTATAAAAATCACTAGTTATTAAAAGTGGAAGAGTTCATTTGCATTAAATTGCCAGTGATTTTTTTTTATTAATGATATACTTTTAAAGACAATTCTTTGCACACTTCTCAACAAGATTACGTTAATAATACTAATGTAGTAGTTGTCTTTACTAAAGCTGAGTGCAACTAAAAATTGCCACTCAAAAAAAAAAAAAAAAGTTGGAATTTGGTAGCATTGTGAGATTTATTTTCTCTTAGATTGAATTTAGTGTCTCCTGGCTATAGCCCTGCATTGTCAATATGCTGTGAGAGCTTAGCTGGTTTATTCCCATATCGTAAAAGGTTTTAAAATAAACTAAAAAGAAAAAAAAAGAGACTGTTAACATTTAATGTGCTATGTGTTGGCAACTGTACCCTACCAAACAGGATTCTACAATAAAAAAAAAAGAATTAAATTGGGAACCTGCATGGTGCTGAGAGAACAGTTTTAATAATGCCATTTTCTATAACTTCTGTTGTGCAATAAAGCCAGCCTGAAACAATAATACAGTGATGATCCAAACCAGCAATAATGAGGACTACAAACAACTAGGAAGATTTGCTTTCTGTACACAGTCTGTTGTGAAATAAATAAATAAAACCAGTGTCAGATCAATCTTCTACCTCCCACTGTTACTGTTATTTTCCACCAATTAGTTATGCCTTTCTGTGGAAATTCTACCTCATTGCAGTTAGATTTTTACTGACTACCAACTCCAGCTTTCAAAATGTTTTTGGCTAGAAAAGTAGTTTATGACTAGCTGCTCTTCATACTACCATTTAAAAGCTTACCTTGTGGCACTGAGTGACTTGATTCTCTCTCCTGTGACTGAATTATCTGAGGCATGTCCAAGCCAAGCCGTGCTACTACTTGTATTTTCTGGTGTCTTTCCTGTACTATTGTATGGCTGATTCTCATGCTAACCTAATTATTGCTGTCCACCTAGACCCAGCAGTTTATCACAGAGCTCATTTTTTAGCTTACTGATAAAGAGGGAGAACTGCAATGTATACTCGCCACTAAATAAAAGATATTAAAGGGAAGAATGGGAAGCAGATCTGCTAAATAAGGAGTTACAGCAGCAGTTAGTTATTTTTCAGAGTTGACTCATATTAGATAATTACCTATGAAAAGACATATTACAATTATCCAAGAAGTATACAGAAATATTGACACATCTGGCATTTTAAGAGGATTTTTTATGTAAATATTTTTAAAAATGAAGATAATGGATAAAATAAAGTACATAACATACACTTCTTCATTCTTTCTCATGTTAAAAATTATAAAAATTGCTTAGTTTTTATTTTAAGTAAGATAAAAGCTCTGAAGCTGTACTGGCTGTGTCTGAAAGTTATGCAATTGCAAATAAACTACAGTGAATCAGTCCTTAAATAATAGAGAGAGGATTTACCAGGTAGGCTGATCACATCGGATAGCAATTCTTTCTTATTCTTCCAGTGAGTAGAAATATAAAGGAGAAGAGAAAATTCTGCATTAGAAGAATCATTTAAGATAACTGAGTGATCTTCTTATTGTTGTTTGTTTTTTTTTTTTTCATTTGGGATTTTTTTCTCCCAAAGTAGGTGGGCACTGTTATAGTTAGGTGCTGGTTTGCCACAGAGAAGGTGAAAAGTCAGGAGGATATTTGATGGCATATATGTCTGTTGCAGCAGGTGTCGCATAGTACTTTTAAGGACTACTGGCCAACATGAAACACAGTTTGTATAATCAGCACACTGATCTGCCCAGTATGTTTTACTAATTCTCCTCCTTTCCATTTTTTATCCAAACTTCCAGTTATTTTTACACTATTTAATTTAAACTTACTAAATCAAATTGAGAAAGAAAGTGAGTTTCTTCTGATTTGAGCTGGACCCTTAATGTTAGGTACCAGTTATTTTTCAAGTTCTTGCCTTTCTGTGCCAATAAAATGAGCAGCCATGGGCCAGCTATGCAACTGGCAGTATTAGCATATACATCTGAGTAGTATGAAAGTGTCTAAAGAACCAGTTTGGTCCATGATCTTAATGACCTTGAAGAATGGCATCTGATGGCAGATAGGTGGCTATAATGAACTCAGACCATTTCATAGGCCTTACAAGAAGTGCACTCATAACCGGAATTAGCTAATACCCCAGATTCTATTCTAAGAGTCCAAGCTTTGAAAGGTTAAGAAGTTTGAAATCCTTCTCTTAACCTTAAGACCTCTCTCCAGCTCAGTTACAGAGGGTATGTTGTTAGCTTGGTCAAAGTATCACTTTTATAATACCAACGAGTAAAGAACTTTATACCTCAGTGTGGTGACTTGTTCCAGTTTGCTGCTATTTTACCATCCAACTAGACTGAAAGGAATGAAAATACTAAATGCTTCAAAATTTGCTGGGCTTCAAAAAGCATTTTGTTAGGGCTCTGAGTTTGTACTTGAAGAACTAATTTAAGTCTCAATATCTAGGTAGATGTTGAATGTTTAACTTCATTTTGCTTCTGGAAGCAGTTTGTAGCTGTTAATTAACAGAGCAATCCCTCATATCTGTCCATCTCTGTAGCATGATTTGTGTCTCAGCACAAGGTTGGATGGTCACTCACTGATGACTCAGTATAGTTTGAGCATTCAGAACAAATCCAAGGGATAGCAGCAATCTCATGTAATTTATCACTCAGAGAAGGCAAGTAACTTGAATAGGAAGCTAGCATGTTGTTCGTGGACTGATTAGTGTTTTAAGCCATGGAGAAATCTACAGGTTTTATTCATCTTCCTGCATGGAGCACTATTTCTTCAATTTTCATAGTAGGTATCATTTATATTTGATATTTGTACTTGTTCTTTAATATACTGCATAAAAGCTAAACTGTTTTTTGAGGGAATAAAAGGCAGTATTGGTCTAAAGTAAAATAATAGTAGTGGGTTTTACTCTGGATTTTTTTGAATTGAAAGCAGCAGTTGATTCAGTAAATAAATTCTTAAATCAAATCTTCTGAAGCAAGCGTGAAATATGCTGATAAAAAAAAAAAAAAATTGCTACCTTAAACGTTTTTAAGGGGATTTTGCTAAATGCTTGACAGAATGCTTTATAACCAAATGAATGACAGCTTCACAATTTTGATATTGAGTAACCTTAAATTGCCATTTTTTCAACTGTTACGTTTTCCCTGGGAAAGTTAGGCACAGAGAGTTCTCAAATTATATGTCAGATTGCTATGAATAAAGTTATTAGCATTGAGTGAGACCAATTTTCAAGTAAAGCAGCTACTCCTTTTCCCCCAAAGGATAAAACCAGAAGCTAACAACAAAGGAAAATATGTTCTCTGTATCTGCCAGTGCATCCACGACCATAATAAATTCTGGTACCTGTGAAAGTCACAGCAAAAACCACACCCACGTGAGGCACAGTGCAGCCAGAAGAACAAAAAGAGTTCATTAACTGCTTGGCTTCTTGATATTTTTAGGCTTCTGAAATAAGATTTTCATCTAGCTACTGTATTGCTGTGATTAAAGACAGTGGCATACCCTGGATCTTCTGGCAGAAGTGAGGATATGACAGCAGTTCCATCTTGGCACTCTTTAGAACAGAAACTTCAGGAAATTATGAGTCAAGTTTCACTCTGCCTGTAGGCCCAGAGGTATCTGCTGAGGCCAACACAGTAGCTGGAGAAATTGCATGATGGGAAACTACTACGTGGTGGATTTTTTTGAAAGCACTTTACTGGTTGTCTCCCATGGATTCCTGGCTGTTTGGTACTAGAGGTTGTATCCCTCTCTCCCCAGGTGGCTCCCTGGAAGGTTTGTGGTAAGTATTGTGTCTCCCAAGAAGTTGGCCTCTATGCAGCAGGAGAGGAAAGCTCAGTGTCAGTTTTAGAAATCTTATTCTTCATATCTAGCTTCACAGGATGTCTGTAATTTGCAGCAGCAGTGTGAGTGCAGTGGCAGTAGCCTTGTCAACAAGGTTAACTGTTTGAGATGTGATCTGCATAATCACATTTTGAAGGTTGAATCTGAAAAAAAATGCAGCGAACTCTTTAAACGTAATTAATTGCCTGACAATGAGATGAATTGCTTACAGTTTGTGACCATGTTATTATGCTATATGGCTTACTTTGTCCACAGCTCTCCTTGCAGGGCTACCATTGCCCAGCTCATCAGGGCAGGAGTATGTTGTATTAGCAAGTAATATGTACTTCATCTTTATCTTAAATTAACAGGTGAAAAATGCTTCTTTTCAGGTGATAAACATCAAAATTAAAGTCACAGAAAGCTGTGCAGATGTCATCAGATAAAAAAAAAAAAGAGTATGTGGGAAACTTCATCACTGAGCTTCAGAGATAAGATATTCCCTTTAAGTGCCACACTCCCTATAAACCAGTTTTCTGTCCCACTTATATTGTGTATATCTTTATGTGCAGTGGCTTGTATGCTGTAATACTGTGTTATCAAATTCTAATGTTTCCTTTAACAGCACACTTTATTTGTCAGAAAAACCCTGCTGAAAAGGTCTCAACAGATTTGCTATGCATGCTTTTAAATTGATTGCTGTGTTTACACTGTATTCTCAGCCACTAATATGCACCTGATCTTTTACTCTTGTCTCTGTATCACCAGGCCTCCTGAACCTGTTTACAGCACTGTGAACAAACTGTGTGATAAACCACCTTCTCCTAGGCACTATTCCCCTGTCGAGTGTGACAAAAGCTTCCTTCTTACAGCTCCCTATCCCCACTACCACGTAGGCCTGCTCCCTGACTCTGAGATCACCAGGTACTGCATGCGCTTCTTCCTCACCTCCTTCATTAGACTGCATGAACATCACTGGATTTATCTCATAGTTTGCATCTTCACCATAAATCTTTTTCTACAGCTTGTGCTTGTTTTTAACCATGCTTTCACATCTGTACCACTGGAAGATATACGCTACCTCAGTATATAATTTTGGTCATCCAAAATCCAGTGATGAACACAGGCAATGTTTTGATCCATTGGAATGGTGCTCTAAAATAGGTTGAGTAATCTGTATCACATTTTACAACTGAATTCAGTACTTCTTTCCTGTGAGTACAGGAAGTGACTAAGACTTCACTGAAAGCTGTAGTAATTTAGTTTGGTTCAGTCATTTTATTTATGTGTTGGACATACTTTCTCCACTGAATGTCTTTGGGTTTATAGGGTGGCTGCCTAAGCCATTTAGAAGAAATTGAGAAAAAAAAAAAAACAAACTCATCAAATCATGGTTGAGAATATATCTAGAATTTGGCATTTCCAAGGCTAACTTTGCTCTTTGAGGACAGTTTGCTGCAGCCTAAAATGATTAACATTTCCATAACTGAAGTAATGGAAGACATTTCTGTAAAATACTGTCAATGATTGCCTCCTGAGAAGTATTAAGTAAAGCAAAACATATTATCCAAAATTGTATGCTAGTATAATCCAGTTATTTTTTCTGTAGTCTAGTAGGATAGTAGTAAACTATTTGCAAGTGAGACTTGGAAGACAGAGTAAAAGTTAGGCACAAGTTTTCAAGAAGATGTAGAATACTTCCTTTGTCAGGAAAAACCTCTATCATGTTCTATATTCCCCAACAGAAGACAAATAATGTTATTAGGGCCTTTGATCATTCTCAAAAGATGAGAAAAGAGAAAAGAAACTTCTCAAAGAAAAAGAGTTAATGTGGGAAAAGAACTGCAGAAGTGTGCAAGTGGAAAGTAAAATGGTAAATTAATATAAAATACAACAACAGGAAATAAACCTCAGGGATTAGAAAAACAGCTGCAAAAGGCATTGCAGTGCTATGAAATGGAAAGTTAAATTAAAAAAGCAATAAGACAAATACTAGTGAGGAATGCAACAGATGTGCTAAGAGCATGCAGAAGCTGTTGGTTTATTAGAATGAAAACTGTAGCTTCTAAAATTTGTAGAAAGATGCTTAATCACAAGGCAAGGTGATTAGTCAAGCTGTTTAGGCCAGTGCAAGTATGAGTGAAAAACACTGATAAGGGCAATGTTTTATAAAGGTATAAATAACTCCAGAAGGCACTAACTTTACAATATTTACATATTTAACAATAATTTCACTGCAGATATTGCCTTAAAGGAAATAACTAGCCAAAAAGTGGTAAAATTACTTCAAGTCTTTAGGTACAGTGTACATATGAGTAATTTATCTGGAAGCATCACAGTACTTCTATGTGCTTAGTGCCCAACAGCAGAAGAGATCATTATAAAAAGACTATTGCTTTCAAAATGGTACCTTTAGACAGGAAGGGACCAAATGTATTGGGGCACTGCAGGTTAGTTTGTGCCTTGATAACCACAGAGAGATGCAATTCATTGCTACATGGTCGATCTCTATAGATAGGACTGCCAGGAGTATGGAGTGTGGAGGTTGGGGGAAAATGGTAAATCTGTCATCAATCAAATACTTCCTGCAGAACAGATACTCGGTTGCTAATAATGAGTGGAACCCTGGAGAGCTCACAGAAACAGGCCATTTTGCCACCTGGAGGTATAATCTCCACATCCTTTTCTTTATTGTGTGATTGACTGAATACTTGGTCATCAGATATTTGATGACCCTGTATCAGGACTTTAAAAGCTGAATTTTGTTCTACTGAGTGTCAGTTAACAATCCTCTTTAAGAACAAGACATCATGTTATTTTAATGTAAAATTAAGCTTTAGTCTATGTATATTTAATCAGTTTGCTTATTTCTACAGTCCAACAAAAACTACAAAACCAACACAAAAGATGAGAAAATATACAACTCATGGTTAACTCCTCTGCACTGTGCTCTGCTACATGCTGTGGTAGAGCCAACTGATTGCTATAATTTACACTTCCTTCCCACTGTGAAGTAACATTCAGAGGGAAAATATGACAGTTTTCTGTGTTCTCAAACACTGTCATCTTTTCCACAAGACTCTGTATAGCTGACTGTGGAGGAAGACATTTGAAATAATATTTCAACAAATGCCTTTGATGGGGAAAGTGACAGCTTTACAACATGTACCGTGATCTTATTTCCAAGTGGACTCAGTATTCACAGTTGGAAAACAGATTTCAGAAAAGCATTAATCCCATTTTAACCCTAATCCAAGTGGCTAATTTTGCAGAAGTGTTCATTGCATGCATTACAATTGGAATCATGGGATTCTTTGCTTGTTTTAGGAACTGCAGTCATTGTCGTATCTCAGTGTTCCAATGCTGAGAATCTGCTGCTGAACTGCAAGAAATTTGGTTTGACAAATAACTCTTCCAGAGGAAGAGGAACATGATGCCATGTTCTCCCAACTGAAATGCTTGTAAGCCAGCCAATGCCTTTCAAATTGCTGCTTCAGATAATTTGTCAGCTACTCCTCAGATGATTGTTTTGTCAAGGCTCATTAGCTTAATAGGCAAAGAGAATTCATAGGCCAAAGCCTTATTTATCTATAATAAATTCAAGTTTATAACCCATGCTTTTAGGGTGCCCTGTCTTAGCTCATCGGAGATTTGGAGGTCTAGAACAATATACTCCCGTTTTAGGACAAAAGTATTTTTTGATTGAAATATCAGTTCATGTGAATCAATATTAACAGGGCTACGTCACTGTGCAACAGATGAAAATCTGTCCCATTGAAGGCAGGAGCAGAGAGAGAATTTCAGAGTAGTATGTTTTCCTTTGAGAGCACCATGTGGGAACAGATGTGGAGTATACGTATTTTGGCCTCTGTCATTACTGGTAATTACGTGTACAATCAGAAGATTATTGGAAGCGAAAGGAAATCACAGCTCATAGATGTAACACTCTACAAACACAAGACTTTGTTTCTGAGTTCTGTGACATGAAGTGTTGTGTTGTCAGTCTGTGCACTGAGAACTTAATTACCTACTCTACTACATAGACACACTTAAAAAATGCTTCAGTTTTGCCCACAACTTACTTCCCTATCTTCACTGAAATCTTTTTGGCACTGTAGTTGGCAGCATAGTTTTTGCTGAATGGCAACCCTGATATTCTTTGTTTGTGTGATTTGTGTTTTTTCTATATGTATTCACTTTTCTCTTAAGCCTTTGATCATGTGATTGCATCAATATTTTTGAATACATATAGGCGTTGGAACTAACGGCATGGTTTCAGAATTTTTGGGGATGGGAGAAAAGCTTGGGAATGTGAATCCTCAAAAAAAAAAAAAAAAAGTGAAAGTTTTGTTCATATGTAGTCTAGCTTTTGTAAAGTTGCAGATCCTCCTTAAGGTGCTTGCGTGCCTGGATTTAAAGTATTTGGCTTGCTTATTAAATCAAGATTAGTTTCTTGAAGCCAGCCTCAGTTCTAGCTGACACTGTGATCTGCAGTCTTAAGCAAGGTATGATTTTGTGTTTTTTTTCCCAGTCTCTAAAAGAGGTTTAACAATGATCTCATAGAGCTTCTTTGAAAATTAATTCTCTCTGAGACAATAGCATCCTATTACTAATAGCATTTTGTGTTATTATTTAATAGCATAAAAATGATTTAAAGGTATTTAATAAATTAGATGAATGACATCAGTTCTTGGGACCACCATTATTTTCTCACTGATGGGGATTAGGGAGAGAAGATAATATTGGCACAGGGCTCTTTTGCAAACAAAAGCAAGTAATTTGCACAGGTATTCAAGAGTAACTGAGCATTGTGTAGCTCTAAAGAGCTAGACAAATAAAAATATGCTGAAATGTATGCAGGACGTATGAGTAAGGAGACGATCATGTCCAGGTTCTTATTGACTGATGTGTGATGGTGCTTCCAACCTGGGGCTGGACTCCCACAGCCTCCATGACACAAGGGTCACTACACACCAGGAGTCTCTGCAATCAGACTGGTGTACATCTGCAACACTAAATGCTGCTGCTTGTGGTCACCTCACTTAGTTTCAGGGATCCCGGGGATCCCTCCATAGCCAAAGAAGGGACTGCTGAGAAGGTGCTGATCACTTTTCACTGATCCCAGCAGGGAGCTGACGTAACTGCACTTGAAAAAAATGTGGATGGTGGGCCTCTCTGGTACTCATTGCTAAAGTGTCCTTTTTTTTTTATTTGTTAATATCTCTGCAGCCTGTTTCTTCACAGTAACCTGCTGGGAGCAAGCTTATTGTCAAAATGATGCATATAACTGTACTTCTGTGTGGCTGCCTTCCAGGGGGGCTCTTGTCATCTTTATTGAAACTCACATCGTAGAGGAGTACTGATCATCTCCTTCTCAGTCCCATGTGTTTAATATGGGGATTATATCTCCCAAAACACATCTAGCCATATTTTGTGGGTTTTGAAATGCTTGGCATCCTGAAAAAGGGAGTTATCAAACAAGCAGTAAAAAGCAATGATATCGTGAAATCTTCATATTATGAGTCTTCAATTTGCCCTACATAAACACAACCACCTTTCTTGAATTTAAAATTATATTTTACTGTTTAGTTGTATTTGTTTACTTATTTTTTTGTGTAAATTTCAAATAATAATTATGAAATTGGAAATTAATCTTGTTTATGCAAACAGATTTAAGTGTTTAAAATCATAATTGGAGCAGATTTGTACTCTTCCCTATTTTAACAACTTGAAATCAGCTTCTGGACTGATTTGCATTTTACACAATCCAACCACAGATAGCAAGCTTATATATGGTGAACTAGCATTACTAAATAGCACTGCTTAAAGACGTGGAAGGGAATAAGTACACAGATGTATAGGTGTACATTGCTTCTGTGCATTTTTGAACAGCAAAATAGGCATTATTGAGGTTCAGCTTATTC